TTTCACCTCATTTTGTGATTTTTTATAAACACATTTCGGGAGGGGCTCGATCAGTCTTTGACGAGGCTAATTTATCACAGACAATCATTCTTTTACCCAGTCAGCTCAAGACCAAACCCCTATAAAGAGTCAAACACGTCATACCTCCAATTTCTCTGGACTTCAGCATCCATTCACCACCCCAACTGCACACTATTAAACTAAATACCTACTTAAATATGAGGGGGGAGCGTTTCTGAGCCATGAGGCTAGACACTGCGCTCGAACCCTATCTTTCTCTATCCTGATAAGGGGAATAACACGAGTTAGGGCAGGGGTATCCAAACTCAGAACTGAAGGGGCCGGTGTCCTGCATAGTTTAGCTCCAACTTCCTTCAACACACTTTCTTGGAAGTTTTAGTACGCCTAGAAAGAGCTTGATTAGCTGGTTCAGGTGTGTTTAATTGTGGTTGGAACTAAAATATGCAGGACACCGGCCCACCAGGACTGAGTTTGGGCACCCCTAAGTTAGAGGGTCTTCCCGAGCTCAGAGCCCTCTCCCCAGACAGCACGCCAAATATGCATATTCTATTCAGTCAAATATCTGTGAGTGTGAGCTCGTGAAAAATAAGTAGTCTGAACACTGCAAATGTCATTTTTGATATGTACAATGTATAAAAAAAAAGATAACACACACACAAAAAAAAAAATAGAACACCAAATGCTTTGTTACTTTGACTTATTTTAAATCAGTTAAATCAGTTAATTAGGTAAATGCAACATAAACAAGTATACAAAATGTAACTTTTTTTGTCAGTTTGACTGATTAAAGTTGATTTGATTTCACAAAATTTAAGGCAGCAAGATTTTTTTTGTTACAGTGTAATTTGTTGCACAATTTAGCAAACACTCCTTTTTGAGATGCACTTTAATGTCTCGGAGTTACTTGCAATTGTCAACAGGCCTTTTCCCATGCAAAATATTGCTTAAGTCACACTAATATGACCCCAAAGTTTTATCACTCAAATTATTATTGCGTCGATAGCTGATTTAATGGATTTTAATCATATTTATATACTTATTTGTCTAAGAAGTCAATTCATCTACAGAATAAATCAAATACACAGTCACCAACATGAACCCCCTGCAGCAAACTTCACTTCTAGTCAATATAAACTGTTCACAATAAAAGGCAAAATCACCAAAATAAATCAACAAAATCCTAAATGCATTCTTATGTTCAGCACATTTTTAATTAAATTAAATGTTTACTTTATAATAAATCTCAATATGTCATGTGTGATGCAACTATTGTAATAGGATTTAAATATTTATTTATGATTAATATATTTGAAAAACAAAAGTCCAAAAATAAAGTCACATTGTACAATCAATATGCAAAAAAGGTCTATGAGACAGGACATGACAATTAAATATACAAATTAATATATTTTAAGGTCAGCTGTTTTCTTGATCAGCCAATATTAATTCGGATTGTAAAATGACGTAGCTAAACCTAACCACTGGGTTAAATGCAGTTACAAATCATCTTCTAATTTAACCCAGTGTATAGATTTGTCTATTTTATTTTTATTTATATTTTAAAATATTTGTTTTTGTCTAAAATGTGGGTTGAAACAACTCAACATATTTAAATGAGCAGTGTAAATAAAAATAAGATCTCCACACTTTCCATCAGCTGCTGTCATGCCTTTTACACTAGAGTTTCTAGTGTGCGTAACACCATTTTTCCACGCCTATCTGCAGTTACATAATTCACCGGAGTAAAAAGAATAGCATCAATTCTGTTTCTCATGGCTTTTGTGTGTGTGACTCCCGAGAAACACTTTTTTGGCAGAGCACGTGCAGTACATGCCATACAGAACGTGAGGATTCAGAACACACTCGTACTGCATGTACTGTACTTACTGAACTTCATTATTCTTAGTCACGCTTCGGACAAACTGAACTACTGATTTGAACTGACTTTAAAAGGATAGCCAAACATTTCCTCTAACTCAATGGTTCTAAACCAATATCTTTCCTCTGTTGAATACATAACAATATATTCTGAAGAATGTTGGGGAAAAGTAGCAATTGGTATCTTAAACAGCAACAAAAAAAAAATAATTTGTCAGATATCTTTTAAAGCATTGAAAAACATTCTTAAACATTTTTTATGTCTGCACTTATAAGTGTTCTGCAGTATTGTATGGTATATGAGTCTGTCTGTGAGTCTAGCAAAGTTGATGAACCCGATTAAAATCTGTTCAAAGATAGTAGGAAAGCCTCTTGAGAAATTATATGACCGTTTGTATTACAAGAACCTCACAAGACTGGCAAGGTACATCATTTTGAACCCTCGTCATGTGTTGAATCATAAATTGATGTCATTAAAGTCTAACCATCGATTTAGAGTCCAAAGTTTTAATAAAAGTGAAATTAAAAAAATGACTTGTACATCAGGCTGTATTAAGGCCTGTGTAAAATTAATTGATTTTTGTATGTCGTTGTCTCTTTGTTAGGGGTATTTTTCATGCTGTTATGCAAGAAAAGAATTAGATGCAAGTCTGACAATAAAGTATTGTATTGTACTATTAAGTCAATCAAGTTTTTTTTATTTTTTTCAACAGAAGAAAGTAACTGAAACAGGTTTGGAACAAGTGAGTAAATTATGATAATTTTTATTTAGGAGTGAACTATCCCTTAAGTACACTATCAAAATAAAATGAAACCACACAAATTATAGTAATTCCCATAACCTTTACAGATTCATTTTGGTCATTTAGCAGACACTTTTGTCCAAAGCAACTTACAATTGAGAAGGCATTCACCTAGGGCTCGGTGAAATGGCAAATATACAATCTCGATAATTTTTTTTCCATATTAAACGTTACCTATATATATATTTAGACATAAGTTGTTAACGCTTACAGATTTAAAAAATTATCCCAACAATGATTGACGTCAGAAAACTAAGAGGGTCCATGAAATGACATAACATTTCAGTTGATACATTTTCAGACAAAAATTCCATGCATCTCTAATATCAACACACTTTTAGATTCCCATTGTTGCACATTTCTGCTGTGTGATTGGCTCTTACATTGATATAGAGTAAAACAGTCCAGAGCTTATCATTGTTGCGACATTAATTATCGCGATTCGATATAAAGTTGTTTATCAGCAGAGTGTAAATTATAAATTGACCATCAGGGTGATCAACTGTTTCGGTTAGTTTGTGTTATACATGCTTCAGTCATTTATGTATTCATTTTTATTTACGTCTACTTTATTAATAAAACCTATATAAGTTTGTAATCTGACCTACAGTATTCTCTGATTAGCCATTTCAGATGTTACTGTTGGTTAAACAAACTATTCGTATAATTTGACTTTACCTTCAGGCTAAATGTAGATACAAACACCTATTTTATGAAAAAAACTTGTGAATACAACGCCTATCAGTGCTCTAGATCTGACAATTTCAGACTTTTTCGAATAGACTGATTGGTGGGAATATGGTTTGACAATGGTTTGAACCGTTATAGGGGTGGTCAAGTGTATATTTATATTATTAATTGTTTTATTATTAATATTATTATTTAAAATACAGAACAGAGTGAAATATTTCTCAGTAATAAAGGAATGACCCCCCATACATCTTGTTCTGACGTCCTTCAGGGGGGGATCTAGTGTTAATTAAGGGGGTCAATCCCTCCAAAACCCCCCTGTAATTCGCATCCTATTTTTTGGCCCAGCCCTACATTCAGCGATTCAAAAAAGAAGAGGCAATCCACACAAGAAGAGCTAATTATACAAAGGAACTGTTAGTGCTCGAGACTAGGCGCTAAAGAAGGAGTGTTTTTTTTTTTTTAGAGAAAGAATAGAGTGTTACTACAGGTGGTTTGCCAAGCCCACTCACTTGTGTGAAGCATATTTAAAAGTCACTTAAATCACCCTTCTTCCCGATTCTGATGCTCGGTTTGAAGTGCAGCAGATTGTCTTGACCATGTCTACATTACTAAAAGCATTATGTTACTGCCATGTCATTGGCTAATTAGAAATTTGCATCAACAAGCAGTTGGACAGGTATACCTAATAAAGTGGCCGGTGGGTGTATATTTATCTTTGGAAATATCACAGCAAATTTATTAGCACTACAGATTAATTCAAGTACCACAACATATAAATTCGTAGCTTACTTTTTAGTTAAAGAAATAGAAACCTGAACATTCTGACGTATACTCATCATTCACATCCGCTTCTTTCATCTGTTCAACACAAAAAAAGATACTTTTGACAATGCTAAAAAACCTGTAACCATTGACTTCCATACTAGCCTGTTTAGTTTTTTTACTATGATAATGGTTACAGGTTTCCATTGTTTTTCAATTTGATTTTATGTTATTTTTTGGGGGTTTAATAGATAAAAGAAACTCAAACAGGTTTAGAACCACCTGAGGGTGAGTAAATATTCATTTTCATTTCCATGAGTTATTCTTCAAGGAACCATTAATGGCAACAAAAAAATTGACTTCAAAGTGATAGTTCACCCCATATTTAAACTCTGTCATCATTAACTCACTCTTGACTTGTTCCAAACCTATTATGTTATTTTCTTCTGTTGAACACGAAAGAAGATACTTCAAAAAATGCTGGCAGCTGGGACTCATTGACTTCCATAGTGATTTCAAAATTCAATGGCTCCCAGCAACCAGCATTCTTCAAAATATCTTCTTTTGTGTTTAACAGAAAAAAGAAACGATTATGGGGGAAAATTAATCATGAGGTCATTTCAAGCTTGGTGTGAACTCCCCCTTTACGTGTGTAGAAGCATGGAGAAATGCATTTACTTCCACCAAGGACATCTAGGATTTCCCACACTGTCTTTATCCTAAGGCCCACTTCTTGGAAACACACACCCAATAACTGTACTCAAATATATTATCAGAAGTCACCAGCAGCCGTTAGTTCAGCAGTCCACCTACATTCAGAGTTCAGCTTTGTAAATTTCTTACCTGCAGTGGTGAGTGCCAGTAGAGCCAGCAGGCAGCAGACGGGGAGGAGAAGCCTCATTTTGACTGCCAGGACTGTCTGGTTCCCTTCTCTGGCTATATATACCAGCGCAGAGAGGGTCTGGGGGTGGGGAGGCGCTCATAGATGTCGCAGCATTTGCACAAGCGTCAGCACTGGCAGCAGCTGCTTTCTACAATCAGATGGCCTTTAACCTTTGCCTACTTGTAACCTTTCCTTGGTATGGCGCTGTGGAGTTGTAATGGAAAATTGGTTGCTTAATCAAAGTGGACAAATTTGGGCACAGGTCTTTAACATTAACACAATAAATAAGAGATTTTTGCAGAGGTCACTTTTAAATTTAGGCGATTCCCCAAGTAACCACCAGATGGCACGCTTTTGTTGACCACACATTTACAATCACATGGAAGTTAGAAATCTACAGAATATATCGTTGGTTTGTTTGTTTGTCATGGCGGTAAATGCATGAAATGGCAAAAAAATGTTTTTCTTATACACTATGGTACACGAATACTGATCATTCTAGGTGTATTGTTAAATGTGGACTAAATTTTGGTCAAGTTAATTTGTGGAGAAAGATTTCACCAAACATTTGGTGAACAAAACAAAAATCCTCCTGCACGTTGCAACAAATACAAACTATACACGCCACGTTTATGGAAAATGTATTGATTAGATGTAAGAAGTATTAGTATTATTACCATTATTAATTAAAATGTAGTCTACTTTAGGACACGGCTAAAATGGATCATCTTCTACAATCTACATGATGGTACATGAGTATAACAATCATTGTACCATGGTATTATCAAGACTAAAGCATCTTAACAAACATTTAGCAGACAAAATGAAAATCTTGCTGAATATGTTACAACAAATACAAACTAGATAGAACTAGACAATGTGAACACTGAGAATAAATTATTATGGTGTAAAGTAACAAATTACAAATACTCAGTTGACTGTAATTGAGTGGATTTTTTCATGAATTCTCAGTAATTTACAAAGTAGTTTTAAAAATGTGTACTTTTACTTTACCATGAGTACATTTTTATTGTGGTATTGGTACTTTTACTCCACTACTTTATTTTTCTTGTCTATTGGAATTAGAAAAATCAGTTTCAGTCCAATCAAATAGCACAGAAGTAAAAAGGTAATCCCATCATAATGAACTACCTCAAGACATGTGCGCTTTATAAATGCAGCAAACTGTTTGGAAGCATTACAAGTGTCCAAGAACATGCAATGACCCAGAGACTGTTTAGATGCATGTCACTGATGAAAAGATGACGGATGTTTACTGTATGATGACCAAAATGGCCTTAAACACCCAGCCAGCAGGCACAAGACGTCAACGTGACGTCAGATTGACATTGTACCCTAACGTCATTGGGACGTTGCATTTTGTTTGCAATTGAAAATGTCCAATGTCCAACAACCAACCTAACAGCAACCAAATATCAGCGTCTAATGATGTCACAGCTTGACGTTGCAAGGACATTACCAATATGATATCTATCAGACGATGATTGCCATACCTGATGAATAAATGTCAGTGTCTGATGTCAATATGATGTTGCTTTAAGATGTTGTCTCAGTGTAGAATTTTGGTCGCTTTTTTAACTTAACTTAAAATCAACCAAATATCAGCATCATTCGATATCATTATTGGAGATCAAATTAATCTTGTCCTTAGAAGCTGGCTAGACATTGAATTTTGGTCATCTAACGTCTCAACCTAAATCTATAACCTAATATTAAAGTGTTATGACGTTGTGTGCCTGCTGCGCAAGAACTAAATCCACTACAGAATGTTTCGTTTTCACACATTCACAAATTACATGGAAATGCATCAGCTTTGTACAGTGTAATACTCACTACTCACTACTCTTGAGTACTTTTTAAGGGGTACTTTTTATTTATACTTTAAGTAATATTTACAACAGATACTATTGCTTTATTGCACTACATTTTTAGGCAAGTAATGGTTCTTTTACTTGAGTCTGATATTTCAGTGCTCTTTCCACCACTGATTATAAATGCCAGTATTTTAATTTTATCATTGGCTTAAGCATTGCAGCTTGTAGTGCCACAAGACTACAAATATTTCAGAACATATAAATGAGGCCGACATGCAAAAATCCAGCATAATACATGTGTTGTAGCATGTGCGAACTTTAAAAGCCAGGTTAAGGGAAATATTTATTGACTAAATGTTTACAAAAAGTAATAAAAAATAACCAGTATTACCATGCTTTGTACATTGTATTTTTCAAAGCATTTAATGACCTGGCTACAAAATTCCTGTATCTTAAGGTACCAAATGTTGCCAATATCATGACACATTATAATAATCATGCCATATTATCATCCTACATTGGCACAAATACATATTAAAAAAGCATTTTTAGACAAAACATAAATCTTGCTGAATAGTTGCAAAAGACACATCAAACCATGTACTGGCTGGATGTTCACACTACACAAAATATGCTACATTACTTAAGTATACACATTCTTTTCTTGCACCACAACCAACATGAAAATACTAGAGTAAATTTTAGTAAATATACTCTGACTCTAGTTTTTTTAACCGTTCTATAAAGTGTATTGTACTGTATATTGTATTATTTACAACTATTTGCTAATGAATACAATACAGCGTACAGTGGCATTACCTATAGTAAACTAATAAACTGTAATACATATTGTAGTGTACTTCATTTTTTTACTTCATTAAACTTTGGTGTATTGTTGTAGCAATAATATACCTTATTCATTCATTCCTTTATTAATCTGGGTTCGCCACAGCAGAATGAACTGCCAACTTATCCAGTACGTTTTTATGCAGCAGATGCCTTTCCAGCTGCAGCCTATCACTGGGAAACATTCATACACACTCATTCACACACACACATTAATACTCCAGAAAATTTTCATTTATTCATTTTCTTTTCAGCTTAGTTCCTTTATATTGATCTGGGGTCGCCACAGCGGAATGAACCAACAACTTATCCCGCACATTTTTTTTGCAGCAGATGCCCTTAGCCGCAACCTATCATCACTGGGATATATCCATTCACACTCAGTCACACACATAAACTACGAACAATTTAGCTTAATTCACCTATATCACATGGTTTTAGACTGTGGGGGAAACCGGAGCACCCGGAGGTAACCCACGCGAATGCGGGGAGAACATGCAAACTCCACACAGAAATTCTAACTGAACCAGCCGAGGCTCGAACCAGCGACCTTCTGGCTGTGAGGTGACAGCGCTGCCCACTGTGCCACCCCATCAGCTAAAATACCTTATAGTTGTAGAAAACAGTACTGGGAATTTTGTTTATATTACTATTAGTTATATCACAGCTAAAGAATTGGCACAATAGATTAAGTACCTTATAATATTTAAAAACCCTTCAGTATTTACTATAAATTACTATAGTAGTTTTTCATGTGGGAATATATTCTCCATTTTGAAACATGATTATGCTTAGTATCATCATATGTATATATTCAAAAATGGTGGCAACACCAAAGCTCCAAACATGCCAATATTTTAAATTTAAAAGGCTGATACAAGGTGAATATGAATATATATTTAGCACGTTTTACTGTTTGGCTGAGCACCCAGTTAAAGTGATATGCGTGCTTTTGTATATTTTTACCATCGTACAGTATGTAGCCAAATTTTTTTTTGTTGTTAAAGGAATAGAAACCTGAATTTTTTCATAGTTTACTCATCATTCACATCACTTTCTTTCAACTGGTAAACACAAAAAAAGATATTTTTTAAAAACCTGCAACCACAGACTTTATTTAGTGGTATAATGCCTGATGTTATGTTGAACTTGAAATATGTTATTTTAGGATATAACCTCTAGATGTTTTTATTTATTTAATCTTATTGTATTTTTGGCCAAATATTTTATACACAATTGTAAATTTTGTAAGCGTAAACCTTTCTTTTAGATTTTTTTTGAAGATCTAAGTCTGTATATGTCTTTGATCTGAATCTTCTAACAAGAAAGCTGTAAAATCTGTGAATCTGTTTAAAAGATACATTTCTGTTATGTAATGTGGTATAATGTAATGTAATGTAAATATTTCCTTTTGTTATATTAATAATTGTTATTTTTTAAAAGCATTTGCATTAGTCATAAAAAGTAATTCAAGAAAAAGTAATAAAAAATAATAATAATTTGGCACAGTGGGTAGCATAATTGCCTCACAGCAAGGTCGCTGGTTCGAGCCCCAGCTGGGTCAGTTGGCGTTTCTGTGTGAAGTTTGCATGTTCTCCCTGTGTTTATGTGGGTTTTCTCCGGGTGCTCCGGTTTACCCCACAAGTCCAAAGACATGTGCTTTGAATGAATTAGGTAAGCTAAATTGTCCAGATGTGTGTGAATGAGTTTGTATGGATGTTTTCCAGTGATGGATTGCAGCTGGAAAGGCATCCGCTGCGCAAAACATATGCTGGATAAATTGGCGGTTCATTCCGCTGTGGTGACCCCTGAGTAATAAAAGGACTAAGCCGAAAAGAAAATGAATGAATGAATGAATAAAATTCAATGGTAACAGGTTTTCCAACATTTAAAAAAATATTTTCAACAGAAGAAGGAATTGGATTTACTTGAGGTTGAGTAAATAGTGAGTAAATTGTAATTTTGAGGTAAACTATCCCTTTAAGTTAACCTTTTTTTCTGTAGTTACAAAGTGATCCTAATATAAACATTTGACAGACGCTATTTAGAAATCCACCAATATAGTATAAGTTGCAACAGATAGGCTACAAACTTTGTCAAATAAATGGCTCTAAAGTAAGCAGTCTCTGCTTTTTTCTTATTTTTTTCTCTCTCTTTATCAGAAGCAAACGGAGAGTTGAACTGAGGATACAACAACACATCTTGACCTAAGTCGAGACAGTTTTCACAACGTCGTCACGTACGTCTCTCCACGGGGGGCGGGGTCACACAGCAGGGCGGGATGGAGGGAGAATAATACAGTAATCTGAGGGAGAGATAGAGAGAGAGAAAGACCACATCTGGAGGAAAATAAAGAATCATCATTTCATGTCCTCCACCCTCCGTCTTATTCTCCTCCCTCTCACTCCTTTTTTCAGACTGGGAAAGGAACCGGGAGACAGTAGACAGGCGTCGTAAGCAAGCGATGCTCCTTTGAAATGTATTTATTTAGACACGATTTGTCGTAACTTGACAGCATTATATAACCTTTTCCCCGACAAATTTATATCGTATACTACAAAAACAGTTGGCGCTTTTGGTATTCTAAGTATCGTGTTGTGCGTGAGTTGGAAATTCTCAGCTGGATCCAGGAGTGTTTTTGATGAAGACATCTGGCATTTTATTTAATCTAAACGCTAAACGGAGCGCGCGCTTCAGGTCTTCTCAGCGCGTCACGTATTTTGGAATCTGACGGAACGTCGTCTTGAGGTAAAACCGTCGCGCGCTTTTTTGATAAAAACAATCTGTATTTGCACACCTTTAAGAAGAGATTTTTAGGTTATGTATGTGTGTTGTTTTGCTCAAGTTTAATCCAGACAGTCTGACCCAGTTTTAATGTTAAACAGAAATTGAAACCCACTAAGAACTGAATGGGTTTGGTAAACAGACGCCGTCACAAACAGATACCAGCTGGTGTTATATAACTTGTGACTGTCATGTCAGGGCAGCTACAGGTGTGAAAAGAGGACACCTGTGAGTTGGTGGGTGGAAGGCAAGTCATGCTGTATTATGATGTTTTGCATGCCATTCTAACATGGTTGATTGAGTTTGGTCAGATGTTACATTACATTAAGGCAAATTTGGTTTTATATTCAAGACATGCTCCCTATATTGTTTACACATCGCATGTAATCATGACTTCAAAACAACATTAGCACTATTTCTTTGACTGTGAACATGTACTTTGAAAATCATTGGCTGCTAAAATGATTTGCCAATTTGCAAAGAAATGTTTTCTGAAATTAAATTATTAAGGAAAAAGTATGAATGTGTGAATATAAAACCAACTTTACCTCAATTTACATTTCACAGGTAAATTGTATTTTTTGACTACATTTGACTACATGGCATTGCTAGTTTTAAATGCATCATATTGCTCTGCAGTCGTTGCACATACTATTTTCATGTTTGTTCATTTATTTATTTTGTAAATTTGTGAAAAGTAGCATAATTTATTGCCAGAGGTTCATAATCATGAAATAAACCCATTTTAGTATAAAGGCACTATGTGGTGTTGTGATCCAGATGTAATGGTCTAGCGTCAGAGCAAGCTAAGCTACCATTTAGCGTATTGAGGGTTGATCAGAAGTGCTTTTCCTAACCTATTAGTGCTATCCTACACTTTTAGCTTGCTAACTAAAAACGTAGTGAGAAATCAGATTCAACCTCAAAATTGGGGTTTCATATTAATCTGTTAGCGCTATCCTATACCTTTAACTTGCTAACTGAAAGCATTAATATATCTTAAGAGTTTTAGATATATTGTGACAAATCAGATTCAACCTCAAAATTGGGTCTCCGTATTAATCTGTTAGCGCTATCCTACAATTTTAACTTGCTAAAATTTTATATATATATATATATATATATATATATATATATGTACGGTTTTTAGATACTGTGTGGTGACAAATCAAATTTAACCTTAAAATTGGGTCTTTATATTGACCTATAAGTGCTATCCTACACCTTTTACTTGCTAACTGAAAGCATAATATATGTGTACAGTTTTTAGAAGTAGTGTAGCGACAAATCAGATTTCACCTCAAAATTGGGTCTCCATATTAGACCCAAGCAAACACATTAGCTCAAATGACTTTTAATAGATATAATCTTTTTGTGTAATCACATATCCTACAAAATTACACATTTTCGAAGCATGTTTATGACATTGAATATGGTTTATGACGTTCAATACAAGTTTTGACATTCAAATTCAATAGACATTCAATAGTAACACTTCAATGCCTATGGAAGTGTGTTTAAGTTAGCCTATCTACTTATGATATCAAGTAACTTTACAGCTTTCTGTATACACTACAAATTAGTGCTTTCCCTACATCCAATCATATATTTTTTCTTACATGGGTATAATTATATTAAATAAAGAGTCAAATATTTTAATATATTATTTACAACTTTTTAATGTAATATTTAATATATTATTTACAACAAAGTTAGATAAATTATATTGCATCTGATGTGTTTAATTATGCAGCACATTGTAAGCTAAAATATAAATGTTACATTAAAATAACTTGTCCTTTACATAACTATTTAGAAATGGGTTATTGGAGAGACCCCATTTAAAGAATGGACTTGATTCGTCATGACACACCCAGCGTTTCCTTTAGGATTTTTTCCAGCTGTGGTGGCAGGCCTTTTACACAGATCTTTCAACTACCTATGGTGTTATTTCATTGATAAATGTCATGAATGCAGAATCTAGCCGAGATCGCATTTATCTAATGCGAATGTGTGAATCTCTTTGCTTGCGTGCCAATTTTACTCTGTTCATGCACAAAACTTGCACGGCCTCAAATATATTCTTGCGTGCCCTCAAATATGTGCTGCCTACGCGCAGGTTTTCTTGTGCGCTCTCAAATAAATGCTGCTAAAGTGTGATTTAATGCGTTTATATAACAAGTATGTATCCAACATTTTTAAGATTTGCTATAAATATTTATGAATGTCTCCAGCAGACCTACAAAACAGTATTGATGCAATTCAAAGTGAAGTGAAATGGTCATAAACTCCAGCAAGATAAAGTCATGGTATGCAGAACCATAGACCTCTATCTATAAATAAAGTAATTATGTAAACTGTGTTCATCATAACTGAAAGCTATGCCGTATTTGCTCGCCTCACGCAGCTCTGTCATTCAGTCAGTCAGGCAGCATGTAACCTCAAAGGGTTAAACGAATAACGCACAGCACTACTACGATTACATAAAAGTTTGCGCTGTTATAATTCACTTGTATTTTAATACGTTTTGGTGTGATTATAAAACGCTATAAAAAAACAGCAACAAGTGAAGGTTTTGAATAAGAAGCTGTAATGTAGCCGTGGCAGGAATGAACTATGCTGTGGCGCCCTGCCATGGAAGAATGAATGTAGCGGAATCCATGCACACCATAACACACAGTTGAAGTCAGAATTATTGAGAGGGGTCTGGATGCAGACCTAATGCAGTGCAATCTGGGCTGCATCCAATGCTTTTTAATGGACTCACCTAACCCCACCCCTAACCCTACCCATCACAGTGACGTCACTCGCTCCATTTGAGTGCATTGTATCTGACACTGCATCACTTCAATATGCAATCTCAGCTTGCATCATAAAGGCTGCATCCAGATACTATTGGAATTATTAGCCCCCCTTTGAATTTTCTTTTTTAAAATATTTTTCAAATAATGTTTAACAGAGTAAGGAAATTTTCACAATATATCTGATAATATTTTTTCTTCTGGAGAAAGTCTTATTTGTTTAATTGTTTTAATTTTGGACCATTTTAAGGACAAAATTATTAGCCCATTTAAGCTATATTTTGTTTCGATAGTCTACAGAACAAACCATTTTTATAGAATAACTTGCCTAATTACATTACCTGCCTAGTTAACCTAATTAACCTAGTTAAGCCTCTAAATGTCACTTTAAGCTGTATAGAAGTGTCTTGAAAACCATCTAGTCAAATATTATTTACTGTCATCAAGGCTAAGATGAAATAAATCAGTTATTAGAAATGAGTTATTAAAACTATTGTTTAGAAATGTGTTGAAAAAAAAATCTGCTCTGTTACACAGAAATTGGGGAAAAATAAACAGGGCGGCTAATAATTCTGACTTCAACTGGATGTAGCTCGTGTGGAACATAATCTGTTAAGCTAAAATACATACGCATGAGGTTACCAATAAATTAGCAAGGATACCTATCATAGATCATCTTCCAAACCAATTAGCATTATTCAATTCTATATGTAAGGAAATTAGCTTGCTAACTTAACACTTAAAGAAAGAATAAAATTTATATACGAGCGTAGACATAATTTTGCAAATAGACATGAAAATGTTGACATAAATGTACAGTACATTATGTTAAAGTACCTAGTTACTTTAGAGAAATGGTGTTTTATTTAGCAATTCAATTTTCTATGAAGTTCATCAATGCTAAAGCTCATTAAACCCTAAATATATTACAGAAATATTTAAGATTTGGATCTATCAAATGTAGGTTTAAGAAACACTCAATAAAAAACGCTTATTGATGACTGCTAATCCGGATATGTGGGCGTTTTATGTGTCCAACTCTCTGTCTATGGTGGTTATGGCAGTACTTTGGGAGGTTCTCGGTGCTCCGCCAAGCCCGATCCTGATGCAACAAACTGCAACATTAACAGAGAGGGTCTGAGGAATGGAATGAGAGACAGATTGTGGCTGGATGTGTGTGGCTGGGGGGAGTATGTGAATTAATGTTTCAGTGCATCATGAGACATTGTTCGCTGCGATTTTTGAGGGATGTGTCTGTCATTCTTCTGTTTCGACTTACAATGTGGTCTTCACTTTGGAGTTCGTTGGGTTCGCTGGAAAGAGAATGGGTGAGGAAAGACAGAAAGGAGAGATGAAACCACACATTCTTGTCTTGTGAAACACCAACCACCAATGGCTGCTTCTGAAATTCTTCGTCTGCAGTAGTTCCTCATGACATTTACCTATGGGAGAAGGCTTCACATATACAGTACAGTAAACACACACGGTTGAGCAACACATCTGTTCTATTTCCAAGAGAAACAGAGAATTCCTGAGCTCCCGCCCTCCCTTTTTTCTCTTCATCAACCCTTGCGTCTCATTCTATTTTCTCAATCTCTCCCCCTGTTGGCTTGAGCTTGAGCTTGGACGGAGTTCCTGGAGGCCTTTGCGAATCATGAGCAATCCAAGGGGAGGAGGAAAGGCATGGAAAATCAGAGCGAGAGAGAGGGAAGAGAGAAATATGAGAGCGTGCATGAGAGAGAGAGGGGAGAAAATGATGTCTGAAGAATTCCGAATTGCACTTAATCCACATCGTCCATTTGATTCTCAGCCGCGTCGTCCTCCCAGACTTCCTCTGGGCTCCACGTTGCTGGAGAAATGGCGCACGATAGCGGCGTTGGGTCCGCAGCTGGTTCTTGTTATTGTTTATAGGCTTGGCTCTCTCTTTGCATTTCTAATGTACACTTAAAAGCACAGTGGAAACAAATTGGGTGAATCTGTTGTGGCCAAAGGAATGTGTGTGTGTGTGTCTGGATGACAGATTGTATGGAGAGAGAGAAGGAATGGGAGTTTTAGAGTAGGGGAGGTTGTGTTGACCTTGTCCTGTTGCCAGACGCAGGGGGTGGAAAGTGAAGGAGGGATGAAGAAAGAAAGAAAGAAAGAAAGAGAGAGGGCGAAGTGCTG